TGACTGAAAAATACATAAAAAAAAAGACATTAGTTCATAATAATTAAATTTACTATTAGAAATAATATTAAGTGAAACATTAGAAAAAGCTATGAACACATTAGTATTAATTAGTGCCCATCATAAATGTGAATATTTTATTTATAAAACAAAGACTTTTTTTAAGGAATTTAACTTTTAACGGTATTTCATGCAAAATGTAGACGCGAGATTCAGGTTTAAAGTACGTCATCAACTGACGTTTTCAATTGACTATTTTTGCCCCCCTTGAAGCCGTAAACATAAAGCTTGTTATTAAGCCCGTTTTAAAAACCTCTAATTTTAAAGAAGTAATATTAATTGGTGTTGTCATCAGGAAAAAAAATATTTTTTTGAAACCAAAACTAATTTAAATTTGCAGTAGAACAGAAATAAGCACACTTTTCAATCACAAACTAGAAATACGCACCAATTTCTATATTTCAGGTGGGCAGAAGAAGACAGCTGTCGACATCAGCTGATCCTTACCTCGCGGGGATTGTGATATTATATACCTCATACATAACTGTTCTAAAATAACCTTACCGATTAAAATTTTTATTATGTTGAATTTTACTTATACATTAATTGGTAGTTTCAAGTAAACAAATATTTATATTTTATTTCGATAGTTCAGTTAAATGATGTTAATTTAGATATTCCGTTTGTCACAAATCAATGGCAATTATTACATTTCTTTTTGATGACAGTAACTGCAACCCAAAAATAAGTCTCCTGAAATTGCAAAAAAAGAATGGCAGTAACTCTTGAAGCGTGTGAAAAATGACGTCACTCATGGGCACGCGCGTACGAAATCAAAGTCCAACTAGAAAAATGAGAAAAACTGATATCCCCTTCATATTCATTAATCTTATCTTCAATTCATCGCGAAGAGGGGTATAGGAGGAGAGGGTAGTCTCAGGTGCATAGAATCAGAGTTTCAATTTCTTCCCGTCCAATTTCTTTGAATGAAATATATTTCACTTGATGAGCTCATTTTTCTCTCACACTTTCGATATCGAATGCTTTGAAAATCGCGGTAGTATCGAATTACTCTTCTGAGGTACTATATCTGTATTTTTCCCATACAATGAATAAATGGAAATTTCAGCGATTTCTTATCTGTATGGGGATGGAAGAACTTTGGAGAGTGTATGGGTAATATATTTATTCAAATGCAAGAATTCTGGGACTGGAGCTTTGAGCGTTTTCTTTGAAAGTACCTTTCGACAAATAAAAGTATACATATGTAGAAATAGAATCGAAGGAAAAATTTAAGAATTGGGCGAATCTTCGAATATCTAATAATATACATAAATAAGAATATAATGGAATAAAGAATTTAAAAATCTGAGAGCAGTAGGAAAATTCGGGCAATTAAAATTATACAAATGCAAACATGGAGTAAAAAAAAATAAGAATAGATAGAACATTTGGGAAACTATACGTGCAGAAATAGAATGAGGCAAAACAAAATAGAAGGAATTGCGAATACCTAAAAATGTAGAAGATAAAAATCGAAGAATAAGATAGTAATTTAAATATTTAAGAACTAGAGATGCACCGGGTGCCCAGCAGTTGCCTAATACCTGCCCAGAACTTTGTTACCCGGTTATTACTCGAAACCGGTAAAAGAGTTTCATTACACAGTACCCTGACCCAGTTTCTTAGCATCAAGATCTGGCCAATTTTACCGGTAACTATTGCCGGGTAATATTTATTTATGTTCGGCACGTATGCAAAATTTTAGGACCCTACTAGAAATATACAAATGTAAAAATAAAAGAGAAAACATAGTAGTGAGAAATTTGAAAATCCAAAGAAAGATTTGTTAATTAAAATTGTACTTAATGTAGAAACAGTTTAGGAAGAATAATTTATGAATGACAAAAAGCTTTTACTTTTTAAAAATATATGAAGATAATACAAAAAAAGGAATAAAGAAATCAAATCAGAGAGTATTTTTGGAGAATTCAATTGTACATTTGTAGAAGGAAAAGTATTGAATAGAAGAAAAAATGCTAAAATAGTGAAAACTTCCGGGTAACTCAAAAATATACAAATAAAGTCTACATCCAAAAGCATATATGCATATAAAGGTATACATATGCAGAAATAGATTGTATGGTAAGAGATTGAAGGAACTTCAGTACAACTGAGAATGTAGAAATAGATCATAAAAAGCATTTCAAATTTATGAGGAATCTTTGAATATATGTACAAAGACATATACAAAAATAGAAAGGAAAAGAAATTAAAAATAGAAAAAAACATTCTGACAGCTAAAAATATACATGTGTTAAAATGGGAAAAAAGGCTAAGATCAATAGTTACCAAAATCAAGAATCAAATCAACTTTAGGATAGCTTAAAATATGTACATGTATAATTAAATTAGAAAAACACGTAGAATAAGGTATACATTTTTAGGTTTATTATATAATCAATTAGTTTTTTTTCACTTTCTAAGTTTGTAAGCTATTTTGTAAAGAAATGTTATAAGAAGAATTGCTGAAAAAAATGTATAAAATTTAAACTGCTAATAATTTGAAATATCTTTTAACATGTTTTCCCTTTTTTCGACATGAAAACATATCACCAACGCTACTCTTCAAACACAATAGCTACTTCCAAAAAAACAACAGCTTGCAATAGTTATAAATGATATAAGATTTTTGTCCTATAAGAATAAGACAAAAAAGCAATGATAGTCAAAATCAAGAATCAAATAAACTTTAAGACAGCTTAAAACATCCATTTGCAGAATTAAATTAGAAAAACATGTAGAATAAGTTATACATGTTTCGGTTTATTGTTTAATCAATTAGGTTTTTTAAACAATCTGAGTTTGTAAACCTACTTCTTAAGAAAATGTTATAAGAAGAATTGCCGAAAATTTTTCATAAAATTTAAACTGCTAATAATTTTGATTATCTTTTATCACGTTTTCCCTTTTTAAGACATGAAAACATATCACCAACACTACTCTTCAAACACAATAGCCACTTCCAATAAACAACAGCTCGTAATAGTTATAATAGTTTTCAAAATTAAATTGCCTTTTATGCACTTTAATAACTTCACCCTTTACGTAAGACTTAGAAACAACAAGTCGGGAGGAATTTTATTTCTTGAGAGGCCATTGTCCCTTTCGAACATGTACGTGCCACATGAGCGTCGTGACTTCCTTAGAAAAAAGAAATAAACAATACCGTAGAAAGAGAAAGTGTTAAAGTATGTTTCCTTTTGTGTCTTTAAGTGATACATAAGTTTCATTATTTATTTCATTCAGGGCGTTATATACACGAACCCATTCAAGTTTGGGCAATCATAATATGCATTTAACAAGCAGTTAAGGATATTGTTTTAATTTTCTGTGAAGCGTTAAATGCACTTTTGCGTGTCATTTATATGCTTGTTTACAGATGAAAAATAATTATGAAAAATAACTTGTATGTATTAGTAATTATCTGTAGCACGCTCTGACAATGTAGCGAAGGAATTGTTTAAATCAACGTTTAGTTTTAAACACTTTCTAATTTAGAGATAATCATGTATTTCGTTGAGGGGTTTTGGAGACTAATTTTGTTTATTTTGCACTCTTGTTTACATAAACGTACGGTCGTAAATTTGATATAAAATTATTTGGAGCCTGTTTACTTATTTTATGATCAGAAATTCGATAGATGTGTTTGCACTCTATTGCTTTACATATACATAATACAAATTTACTTGAAATGTTTAGAGCCGGTTTACTAATTCTCATTCACTTACTATCAGAAATTTAATAAAAGTGTATTATTAGTTTATTTATTAGTTTACATATACATACTACAGATTTAGTTAAAATCATTAGAGCCAGTTTACAAAATCTTCTACACTTATGATCCGAAATTCGATAGAAGTATTTTCACTCTATTTATTAGTTAATATATAAATATCAAAAATTTAGTTTAAATGTTTAGAACCGGTTTACTAAATCTCATACACTTATGATCAGAAATTTGATAGAAGTTTTTGCCCTCTATTAATTTACACGTACATATCACAAATTTAATTGAAATATTTAGAGCCGGTTTACTAAATCTCCTTCATTTATGATCTGAAATTATATATAAAAGTGTGTTATTAGTTTATTTATTAATTTACAGATATATATATATATTGCAAATTTAATTGAAATCATTAAAGCCGGTTTGCAAAAACTCTTACACTTATGATCAGAAATTTGATTGAAATATTTTAAATCTATAGCAAATACTAAAATTTAATTCAAATGTTTAGAAACGGTTTACTAAATCCTATCTACAATACGCAGAATTAAGAGTGAAAACCCTGAATAACTTTTGATTTAATGGTCAGATTTTGACGTGTTGGGTCTCAATATCATTAGTACGAGAGCCTCACCTTAAATATGCTATATAATTAGTGGCGACGAGGTTTTAAGTTACAAAATCAGGCTCAAAAACGTACTTTGACTGAATAAACCAGAATTATTTTCCCCGGATTCGGATTCTTTACCCTCAAAATGTAGAATATAGGAATTTTGAGGGTAAATATAGTCCCAATATTTTGTCCCCGGAAAGTATAGTCCCAATATTTTGATCGAAAATTTGGACTCTTTAATGCTATTTTCACTATCATTTACGCAAATCAGTTAGCAGATTTTATGAAAAGCCCTTGACCATTAAGATTGAATCCTACCTAGTACCTGAAAATCCAATCATTAAATCAAAAGTTACTTGGGGAGTTAGCTTTTTTTTTCTTTTTTTTTTTTTTTTCTCATTGTTGTCTGCCAAAAAAAAATCGTTTATGAACAAACGGCCTATCTAAGAACTTTAATAATATTTAAAAAAAATCATTTATCGTCACATTTTATTTTTCAAAAATTATAAATTTGTGCTCTTGAAATAGATTATTGTTATATTTGCTTTCTCTTTTTTTTATTCTCATGTAATTAATTATACACAATCTTTTTTTCAGATTATTCTGTTGGATCATTCGTAAGTAATTTAATATTTAATTTTTTTGTAAATGAATGAAAAATATATGAAATAAAATTAGGTTTATAATCACTTATAGATATTTAAAAAAATATTATAAAAATATTGATGAATATTAAAAATTAATCAAATGTTCAATATTTATAATTAAGAAGCACAAAAATATTCAAAATAATTCGCAAGTATTGAAAAGTCTAAATGAAATTGTCTACGAATTTTAAAAAAACTATGATAGATGGACCTGGATGATGGATTATTTAAGTTGAACCTTTGACATTATGAAATGACGTAATTAATGATGTAACTATCGAAAATATTTTTATAAGTACTTTTTTAGTCCAACAAAAATTCTCACCAGAATATGGTAATATTTACCTTGTTCCCGTCTCTATGTGAACACAAGCTCAGTAATTTTTACCGAAGAGCTTTGGCAAGGATTTTGAAAAAATTTGAAATAACATATAGTTTTATATTATGTAACAAAATTTGGTAAATGTGGTAAAATTTGATATCATGATACCTTAGCACGGCATAAAAACCATTTATTGGGTGAAATTTACTTTTCAGTTTTGCATTTGTTACTAAATATGTGGTAATAAGAACTATAATTTTGAAAACCAGAATTTCTTGTAAACCGTTACCATATGGACGGAAAAATTACCAAATGAATGGTTTAAATACCGTTTTTCAGAATTGTGGTTTTTATTATTTTTTTTTACCAGAAATGTCAATACCATACAGTACAGTAATTTTTTTCTTATTACTCGTTAATTTAATTTTGTCATCCCTATTAATAGTTAAATATCTTTCTAAAAAAGCTGTCCGAATCAAATTTTTTTTATTATTGTAATAATATTTGTTTCAAAAATGCAAAGAAATTTTAAAATAGCCTAATTTATCTTCACATTATGTTCAGATTACAACTTTTAAATTTATATGTTTGGAAATAAAGTAAATAGCAGTCGTTAGTTTAATTTTAAAAATTATACATCAATGTTTAAAAACAGAATAATTGCATCTTTCGTCAACTTTGATGGTAGAATTCCCCAGTGATAAAAGTGGTCTATAAACTGAAATAATTACTGAGAATCATGTTTTAACACTTAAAAAAATAAAAACCCAAGTCGGAATAATGTTCAAAATAATTTATTAGTTTCCATTATACTTATAGTTCAATAAATAAAGTTCTAATAAATAATCTTAACTTTCAAATATTGTGTAGCGTAAAATGTTTCATTTTGCATTGCTAAACATAACAGTTCATATTTAAATAGATACATAAATTCCCTTTAAATATGAATTATTCACGCATTCCTATAAATTTTCCTTAACTTTCTATCAATATCGCATTACTTTATAAATATTCATAGACTTGTGTAGTTAAATCCGAGGATAAATAGTTCGTTTCGTTTAAACAGCTACTATTAAGAATGCATGATGAAGTTTCATAACTAATGGTTTATGAACACCGTTTAATTCAAGGAATGAATGCGAAAATCAATATTTGTCATTTCAAATAGTCTTTTCAGGAATGCAATTTTATAAAAATATTGATTTGTATTTTAATAGAAAACATTATATATGGTAATCAAAATAAGTGTTGTTTTGTATAAGATGTAAGATGAAGAAAAATTGCAGCAGTTAAATATATGGCAAAATTATTATAAGGGGAAAAAATTACTTAAAACTAGTTACTGAAATAAATTTCAAATGCAAGCGTTTATATTTTCTTGCTCATGTTTCAGATATGTTATGTGAATATAAAATGTAACATATTAACATATATATAACATATTAACATACTGAAATATATATCTAAACATATTATAGCAATAAAAAGAGGACGATATTCTCGTAATAAAACAAAAGAAAATGTTTTACGTTATTCCGTAGTATTTAATCGTACACTCTAAACAATTCCGGATCAAACTACGGTATCTGCACTAAAGATATATTTTACCCAAGAATCTAATTTTACCGGAGCATGTTATGAAATAAAAAACTGATATACCGTAATTTTTACAGTAATAGTCACAGTAAAATCACTGACACTCTAATTAAATATTATTGTAAAAATTACGGTATAAAAGGGTTTTACGTTGAAATGGATTTTACGGTAAAAACAGATGTAACAGTAAAATGGATTTTACGGATGATACACCCAAAGTGCCGGTACTTTATGCCGTAATTTTATCCCGAGTTTCTTTTACAGCGTACTAGGAACATTGCGTAGTCTTGGGTCACGTGTTTTGCTTTCTCGGAACAGATTTGAGTAGTTTTAAATCTCCACATTTATTTAGCTTGAGTTTTTTTCCTTTTTTTTTCTTTTGTGTACTGAAATTTTTATATTTTCAAAACTATTTTGAATAAAATCAATTTATGAGAAATTTTCTTAATACGAGAAAATCTTTTTAAAACTTAAGATTAGAGCTATATTTTTAAGAATATAAGATTAGGACATTATTATTATGTTCAATGCGCAAAAAACAAACAAACAGACTGCAGTGAATAACTTTTGTTCTAATGATCGGATTTTCACGCTCTAGATCTCAATCTTAATGGCTCAAGGGGTTGACCTCAAATATGGTAATTAATAAGTGCAGACGATATTTTAAGTGACGAAATCAGACACAAAAAGGTACCTTCTGTGAATAAACATACTTTTTTTTTCGACGGATTATGATTCCTTACACCCGAAATATAGGGGATAGAAGTATTCTGGGAAATATGGTCCCAACAATTTGTTCAAGAGAGCGCCTCCTAAGTTTGGGCCCCTTAATGTTAATTTTACTTTTTGCATAGTTTGCCCATATCTCGAGAACTTTTTAAGCGAATTGAAAAATTCTTAGACACAATTGTAAAATTAGTTTATCCAAGAATAATTCCATGCAAGCAATAACATTAAAAAACCTGAAAATTTCGAAAACCGTTGAAAAATTTCAGAAAAACCAAGAAATGTGTTCTAATATGAGATGGTACGAAGACATAAAGATAATCTCTAATTACCTATTATTCTTGGACTAAGGTTATTAATAAGCAGTTTTGTGGCGGAAAATAATACTTAAAAAAAGTATTCACTTAAACTAAAAATAATGTGCAGTGACGAAAGTAAAAAAACTCAACAATGTATCAGTTTTCAAACACCATCCACGTTCGCAAATACAGTCGATAGAATTCTGTTCAGTTTTCTGCCCTCTCAATGTTGTCTTCACACACCTTTGCAAGTGGTTTAAATTGTGTTTTGTTATTTAAATTGTGTTTTGTGATTTAAATTTCGTTTTGAGTCCTCCTTCAATTTCCTTCCACTGAAATAAGGAACTATCGCATATTACTATCGCTCCTTTCCTTGATAAAAATACTTTACAAATTTTTAGTTTTCTATAAAGAAATATCGCTGGTTCAAAATTAAAACGACACTTCTGAAAACATGATAAGTGTTGTTTGAATGAGAAGTGAGTGCGGAAGTGTCGTTTTAATTTTGTACATGCGATATTTTTTTATATGAATAAAAGTGAAAAAGGTTCTATAAAAAAGTGTATGTTAATAATATTGTCGTAATATTTACAATGTTTCATAGAAAGTGTTCAAAGTTAAACCACATAACTTGTGAACCACGATATGGTGCAAATATGCTATAAACTTAGTGCTGAAATGAATATTATTTCCGTCAAGTAGCAGCCAAGGTATAGTATCATTAAGATTAGTAAGTTAAGTTAAGTTTAGTAACCACATCGCTCAGCCTTTTAAGGTTACAAAGAACTTGAAAGAAAATATGATTCAGCAGGTTCCAATTTTCGAACAATGAACAAAGTTAATTGCACCAAAAATGAAATTTAATATTCTTCAAAAACATTTTTAATGAAGTTAATATACATTTAAAAAAATATATGTCGCTCAAAAATAAGAAATTTTTATATAGACAGTGGATTGAATGTTTTATAAATAAGTATCTACAAGCAATATTGCTTTTTCATTTCTCGTTACAGACAATACTCTTACCCTATTAACCCTATATAATACTCTCACCCTATTAAAATTGGGGAAAACAACCCTTTAGGGCATAACATAATATACATACATAAGTTTGATATAAAATGCATAGAGAAAAGATTTTTCATAACATTATTTTTCCCTTCAAGATATTCATGGTAGAGAATTTAGCTTCAGAATTTTCAAAAAGCCATCAGGACGGCTTACAATACAAAAACCTTTTTTTTCCCTGGGAAAATTCCAAATTGAGGAAATTTACCCTCACTACAGTTTGTTATGCAATACACACTATACAATCTCCCCTATTTGCAAAAACGTGCCGTTTAAGTTATGAGGGTACTTTTCTCTGCAGAATTCTCCATCTCATTTGCAGTATCGATTTCGGCCAGAGAGAGCCCCCTTCATGTGTTCGAATATTCTATCCCAGTGGTCAATAGCTCTTGTGCTTCTCGAAATTTCGTTCCAAAATTTTCTTAAGAAAATCCAAGATGAGAACTGTTTGTGCAACAAATATTATCTTGAAGATGGAGTCTTGGTGGAGGGATGATTTGGGGGGTGGTGTGGAAGGAAATATTCTTAATGGAGACTTTTCTTCGCTACCTAATGAGATTTCTCGAGCCGAACGAGCTTCGAGATTTTGAGTGGGTGCTTCGAGTGTATGTGTGCGTGTGAGTATTTTATTTGGTGGAAACTGATGTCAGAATCTTTGGGTAGGGGAGGTTTCAGATTTTGTGAGTAGTCGTGATTTTGCAGCACGTAGTTTTAGAAAACTGTTAAGTTAGCGGAATGTTCGCTTTTCGTGAAAGGGGTACAGTTTTAATGGTGATAATATCGAGATGGTTATTTGATGCAGAGGTAATTGATTTTAATTTTTAAGCACTCGGAAAGTTATTAAAGCTTGGTTTACCTAATATCAGAACAAATAATTTCTAAATTTTCATGAGTTGTTAAGTTTAATTTTTTTACTGACTAGGGAAATTTAGTAATTACTCAGCTTTATTAAATAAATG